GGGGGAGGAAAGTGAAGCTGTGTGTGTTTGGCTGGGGATTTTAGGGAGTAATTGTTTTCCTTATTTTCCTTAACCTTTTTCTTTTCACCAAAAATGTTTTACTTCTTATTGTTGTACTAACTAGACTACTAGTAGTTTAATGTTTTGTTTAATTAGGCTTATTACACAAAACAAGTCCAACGTTTGGAGTTATTGACCAAATTAGTCTATCATATACTCCCTCCGTCCCTTAAAACTTTGCCAAGTTTGACCGGCACGGGGATTAATAAAGTGAAAACTGTGTGGTTGAGAGTTGCGCAGAGGAGAGAGAATTAACTGGAACCACAAATTCTTTACTTAAAAGGGAAAGTGGCAAAGTTAGTGAGACATCCAAAAAAGGAAAGTTGGCAAAGTTATAAGGGACAGAGGGAGTATATATTTATCTTAAAGAAGCCATCGTTTAAATACTCAAGACAAAATTATGACCCGTCTTATGTTATTCATAATTATTTAAAAACAGTCATCATTTAGAAGCATTATTGATTTTGTCAATGTGTCAAATTGTCATTACTGATTTTATATATTTTCTTAAGAAAATTATATATCATCTACTCCTCCAAAACTGCTCAGAGCACCAACCCTACTCTCTCCTATATCTGATGTATAGACTACATCTACAATGACAATAATATATCGAAATATCAACAATTGTTAGAAGTTGAAGTACCATGGATATGGGATACTTATGCTTCAAAAGGATGTATGCTTTTAAGTAATAATGAATTAAATGAGATGTGTCATAATTTTTTCTTGAGTATTTAAACGATGACTTCTTTTAGATAAATATGTATACGATAGACTAATTTGGTCAATACCCCCAAACGTTGGATTTGTTTTGTGTAATAAGCCTTTTAATTAAAACAAATATTATTTGGATTACATCATTTTAACGTTGTTCTTGAAGATACTAATTTCTCTCCACCCAATCATTGAACCAAACACTCTCTTTTTTTAGTCGCCTCCATTTCTCCTCTCCCCTCATCTCCCTTCTTCTGAACCACATACATACTTATTGTTTGTACAATACGGAGTAGGTATTAACTTTTAAGAACTTGGGTTTTGGGGTCTCATCCCTCTCACGGTCAGTCTTTCGAATGACTTGACATTTTATCTCATAGAGACCCATACTCTTCACCGCCTAACACTTTGTCTGGACAGTGCAATTTTTCTCGTAGTGGCATTCACCCTTTATGGCACTCCTTATCTGGACCATGCAATTTATTTTCATGGCATACATATTGCTTTAACGCTTACAGTCTAACATCGCATCTAGACTAAGTCTTGAAGTAGTCCAAAGTCTTATATATTAATCTGTTGTCTTTATATTTACAGGTAAGGCATACTCTTCATCAATAGGAATCTTTTAAATCTTATTCTCATTATTTCTAGTTTTCTGTGTAGGTAGAGGACCATGGTCTCAGCAGCAGCTTCTTTCCATTTATAGTTGCTGAGGAGGATGTGTGTTCGGAAATCTGTACACTCGAGAGCATCCTCGAGGTTGCAGAAACTGCATCTATTGGGTCCCAACAGGAAAATGAGAAATTAGAAGCTAGAAGCCGAGCTCTGGACTTCATACACGAGATGGGCTGGCTACTTCGCATATCTCATGCCAAAATCAGATTGGTTTCCAATATGAATCGTCATTTCCCTTTTAACCGGTTTAGGTGGTTAATAGAGTTCTCAGTCGACCGTGATTGGTGTGCTGTAGTTAAGAAGCTTTTGGATGTTCTATTTTCTGGCCTTGTGGATGAAGGAGAATACTTGTCCGTTGAGGTGGCATTGAGAGATATTGGCCTCCTCCACAGAGCTATAAGTGGAAAACGCAGATCAATGGTAGAGGCTCTCCTACAATACTGTCCAGATATAGTGTGTGACAAAAAAGAATTGTCCAAAAAGCGAAGTGGCCTCTATGTGTTTAGACCTGATGCAGTAGTAGTTGGAGGCCTTACGCCACTCCATATTGTTGCCAGTCAAGATGGATTGGAGAATATGTTAGATGCCTTAACCAATGATCCAGGACAGGTGATTTTCTCCTCATTCTCCGGTTTTTCCTATTGCAATGGTGTGCCACCTCTTCTGATTGGCTGGCAACACGTTAATTAGTTTAACTCTAACCTGCTTTTATAATCAACTAATTAATAGTCCCGGGACTTCAAAAAGAGTCATGTTTTGGTAAATGGCACACCATGTTATTTTGGCTACATGCAACTATAGAAGTAAACCCAGGTATTCCTCAATGGTTGACATTGCACCCTACTCTAGGGTGCAATTGTGCAAAATCAAAGTACAAAACTTGAGATGTAAACTCAAATATTAAGATAGGCATGGAATATAAATGCCAAATTTCCCATTTTAAAAAGATTGGACATTTTTTCGTGGGAGCACGGTATAGAAAATATCACTATTGCCCCCTGTTCTTCTTTGATGTTTATCTTGAGTTATAGGGTTGTGTCATGTAAACGGAAAGGTAGTGATGATGTTTATTTTCTAGGTTGGCATTGAAGCATGGAAGAACGCACGTGATAGTACTGGTTTAACACCAAATGACTACGCATGCTTACGTGGCCACCATTCATACATTCATCTAATCCAGAGGAAATCGACGAAGGAGAAATTACCCGGCAACACTGATGTTGTCTTAGATATCCTAATGGATAAGAAACCAAATAGCAACGGGAAGCAGAAAGGAACAATAGGCGGTGGTGGGTACAATCATAGAAGCGTTACATCAAGTTTTCAGACCGAAAAAACGGTCACTACGAAGAGAAGTTGCAGGCAGTGTGATCACAAATGGGAGTACGGAAGGTGTAGAAGAGCATCACTTGCAATTTACAGGCCGGTGATGCTATCTATGGTTGCGATTGCCGCCATATGTGTCTGTGTAGCTTTGCTGTTTAAGAGCTCACCGGAGGTGCTCTATGTCTTCCAGCCCTTCAATTGGGAGCTTTTGAAATACGGATCAAGTTAACCTAGCGTAGATGAAAATAAGCTATAAATCCCCGCCAAGGTGCTACATGCCACTTAGGAATTTATTCGTTTGAGTTTTTCTACTCAGTAATTTGTAGTTACTTACACGAGCTCTTCAAATGTCACCGGGGATTATTCGACGAAGCAGGTGTTATTGTCTTAGTTTGATTGCAAATCTATATAAAATATTATATATGGAAGCTAGAGCTCCTTGTTAATTGTTATTAGGGATGGACTCAATCCAGTTCTGGTCCTGTTTCAGATCCATTATTTTGAGTAAAGGGTGAAATCGGAACTGTAACCGGGTATACCTGGTTCAGTTCCAGTTCTCGGGTCAGTTCTGGTTTCTTAGTGTATTGTAAAAAAAACATAACCTGTCTGTTCTGGGCTTATTTTGGAGGAATCGGAAAAGAAAACCAGTTTAGTCTACATGTAAAAAAACAACCCAGGTCTGGAACCCAGGCCTCGTGTTTTGGACTTGTGGCTTGATTGATCGCTGCAAATATTGACTGTCAAATGGCACAACCCCTTAGCTTTGATTCAGACTTCAGAGTTTTGTGATCTACAAGTCCCAGTAACGGTTGTGGAGCTTTGTGATTTATAAGTCGCAGCAACGGTTGTGGAGCCTTTTCAAGCATTAACTAATGGCTAGAAGTTAGTCCTTTCTACTTATGGTCATTTTCAGATTGGCAAAATTATGGACTAGTGGAAGGATACTTGGGTTGATTTAATGCTCTGATTAGTTTTGACTTTTTAAGACAAAGTATTCTCCTTTATTTGTTAAGTAATCTTCCAAGTATAATTAAGGAGCCATGCATTAAGAAGCCTATGTTCTCGCGATTGTGAGTTCATTGCCAGCAGTTTAAGATGCCCAAGGCGGTATTCGTGGGGTTACGTCTCTAAGCATTTTTTAAGTTTCCTTATGCATCCACATTCGACAGTTCATTGCTCCGGGCACTTTTGACCTACTGTATGGTCGTACGGATTGAGCGGTACTGGCCGCTTTTTTGCTAGGAGATGTAGTTCAATTCCATGGGTATTATGCCCTCCGGTCGTGGGAAAGAAGCCATTATTAATGCCCAGATTATCACTTTAAGATACCTATGAGGGGCGTGAGCAAGAGGGGGCATACAGGTCTTAGCAATCTCTGCATTTCAAAAAACGTTAAGTCAGCCTGACTTTGATTCGTTTAAAAGAAAGACAGCACATCAAAATCATGAAATATATCTGTAGTGTGAGAACAACGGGGTGTCGGGGTCTGAGAGTAAGAATTTCTTCTAATTTGAGATGCTCTAAACTCTAAAGTGTGAACACATGATAATCTTACTAATTTTTGAAATGTGCATTGTCCAGATTGATAAAACATCCAATGTTGTTTAAACACTTTACAAAGTACTGATAAATTATTTACTATCTACCCAACTTTATAAGAACAACATATATTGATATGCACTTGCACTATATTTTATCTAGCAAATTGTTTGAACTACTAACTTTCAGTCAGGTTTAAATGATCCATACAAAGTGACTTTTGCTAACTTTTTTCTTCTCTAGTTATTTACTCATATATGAGGACCATAATATTTTAGTTTAGACATATTGTTTCATGGGTAAGAGCTCTGGAAGACTGGAACATTTGGTAACATAAAGTTCTTCCAAAAAAGGGAAAATAAGTTTTCTGCTTTAATTAATTCTCAAAATTGAAAATCAAAATAAAGCTAGGGATATTTGGTAACAGAAAGTTCTTTGAAAAGTAGGAAAATATGCTTTATGCTCAAATCAATCTACAAAATTGAAAATAAAAATAAAAAACATAAAATTTAAAATAAATCAAGTTTCGTATATAGTGCTGGCATATGCCAACGGGTTGATATACACCAAAGACTTTCTTTTTCCCACCAAATTATAAAAATTAAAATAAAAGATCTACTTTTCTTCCATCTGTGGCTCTGTGACCTGTGTGCTGAGATAAATAAAAAGCAATAACTTATCATTCTCCATCATTTAAATATAGGATGAAATTATAATCAATTGGAGTAAATATTATATTGATTGGTTAATCTTATAGTATCACATACTACGTATTTTATAACCTAACTTATCAATCATATCTTAATTCTTTCTCACGAAGAAAACAAGTTTGAGTATTATGTAATAAAACAAAATTCCTTGAAATGTGAAAAAGTTTAACATTTGTTGCTAATCACATAAGTCGAACCACAGTGATGTCATAATCCCCAGGAGGTCATGGCAGATCATTAGTCCTCCTTCCCTCTTGCAATATCCATGAGATAGGCATTGAGACAGTGGCCAAATATTTTGGTTGAGAAGGACTCTGAGACGTGCTGACGGGCCTTAAGGCCCATCGTCATAGACAGGCTAGGATCTGAGATGAATTTAGCCATGGCTGAACAGAACTCTTGTGGGCAAGGATCGCATAGAAAACCGGTCACACTGTCATCTACTGTCTCCACAGGACCACCACTGTTGCATGCTATTACGGGTTTATACGCTGCCATTGCTTCCAAAGGAACAATGCCAAAATGCTCATCCTACCGCCAAAAATATCAAGATTATAAATCAATGTAAAGGTTTGTGTGTTTGAATAGATCATAAATCATCGAACTTGGACACACCTTTGGTGTATAAAGAACACATAGGCATTCAGAGAGAAGTGCATTCCTTTCAGCAGTAGAGCAAGAAGGGACGAACTTGACCCGTTCAGAAATACCTTGTTTTTCAGCCAGCAGTTTCAGCTCCTTAAGATAATCGACATTCTCTCTTAAGCGTTCATCAAATCCACCTGGGCGAAAATGGGAATGAAAAGAGGGCCCACAGAATAACATCTTATCAAGTAGTAGATGTTAAACAACAATCAAGCTATACCTAGAACAGTAGAAAAACAGTATAGGTTATAAAAATTCAAACAATCAATAAGTTGGACAGGACCGGGAACGGTCAGTAAGTCAGTTAACTCAGATACCGAACCGGAAAAATCGTCCGGACTGGAACCAGTCAAACCTAGGATCAGAATGGACCAGTAACAGTTTGAAATTAGGTTCTGTGATCAGTCTGAAACCACCCCAAGAACTGGACCGGATCAGACAGAGTCGGACCAAGTTTACCGGTTCCAACTTTTCAAAGACCTAGAACCTGAATGCATCCACCCCCAGATAAAGTTTGGTTTTATTATTTCACTAAAAACTTGTAGCAAGAAATAAACAAAACCTATACCTGCAATAGTCAAGGAAGCATCAGCCATATTAGCATAATGATTCCCACCACCTTCATGATTATTATAGAGCATGGCAAAGGCAGATATTGCCAATTCTATATTCTTTTTCCTTTCAAAGCGGTTGATCGATAGAAAGTTTAATAACCTAGATAAAGTGGATAAACAATGTTACATAAAACTCAGAGAAAGTTCTACTAAGATTTAGTTGGCATTTCAATTTGTGTGTTGATATCATACATATAAATAGGTAAGCAGAGATGGAAAAGCCTCGTACTTGGTGTCTTCACTAGGTTTTTCAAATTGGTCAAGATTTACTGCTGGGTATAGCACGGCTGGTCTAACTCCACGCTCATTTAGATGCCTGAATGTATTCGCAAAAGTAGAACCCGTAAACTTGCTATTGACTAAGATCATGTCAGCCATACCTACAAAGTCAGAAAACAAAAAGCGTTTGGGATGAGTGGATGACTTATTTTGGGTTAAGAAAACTAAAGAAGCTCGAAAACACACAACAGAGTGTACATTGGATATAGATTAGGAAAGGAAGGGCCATTAGGAGTGTGTTTGAGATGTTTTTTCAAAGAATAAATGCTTTTTAGAGGGGTTCGAAACAGTCTCTCTATGCAGGGGTAAGACTGCGTACATCTGATCCCCCTTACCCCACCGTAGGTGGGGAGCCTTTGAGGCACTGGGGTAATGATGATGATGAAATGCTTTTTGGAGGGGGGATTGTGTTTACTTCAAAAAGAAGCATTTGACGGAAAATGGAAAAGTGTGTTTGTAACAACACTTTCAATGCTTAAGGTGTATTTTAAAAATGACTTTAAGTGCTCAAATGAGAAAGCCTTATAATAAAAGCACTTACACAATATGTTATCCCAAACGGAATGTAAAGTTAAACAGCACTTTTGGCACACAAAAAAAAATGAACCTGTAGTCATTTCTTCTAAAAAATCTATAGGCTTGCGGTATATCCTCCTGAGCATGGTCGTATGCTGAGCAAGTAACATATCTGGAAAATGGCAGTAGAAAACAACCTGCGTAAGGTATAAGATGATAAATTATCATGCCACACACTCCAGATGTAATTCAAATTTGAAACCTACTACCTTCATTGACTTCTTAAGCTTCATAAGTGGAACAACAACAGAGACTTGATCGGCTAGTACAATGTCAAATGATGGCCATAGAAACAGCACCGATAGAGCAACAAAAATGCATCTCAAATATGCACAGATTGCATGAAGTCTATAAAATATATTTCGGGGTAGGAATGAGCCATATACTTTTACGTGAAAGGTACCTGTGCAATTAAAATCAGTTAGATTGTGCATGTCTGCTATACCTTTTTTCAGCTTATCAGCCACATATTTCACCGACCACCGACTACACTTGCTGACTTATTTCACTACGTAGGCTGGCTTAATGCCTTAATCAGTTCAATGAAAAAACACCCCTTGAGTTACTTTTTTTTTTGGCTAAAATGAAATTTCTACCTTCATTTCAAGATATTATTTTATTTAGTTTTCTCTTAAAACATATTGTGACTGTTTTTTTAGATTATTCAATAGAACCAATCATGTCTACAGAAAATTTAACACATTAGCCAATTTATCCATTTTAGGCGTTGCCAACTTCAAGGAGAGAAACAGAGAGAGTATACAAAAGAGCATAGAAAGATCTAGCTACAAAAATATTGCAAGAAGAAATAAAGCAAGAAGCTAACCAGAAAGAGTCTCCTCAAAACAGCGATTTTTGTCATGGTGGGCTGTAAATACATGGACATTATGTCCACAGGAGGCAAGTTCAACAGCAGCATCAACAATAAGTCTTTCAGCGCCGCCTACATATTGCAAAACTTAAAAGATGAGTTGACAAAAAAATACCATAACAGAAGCCATGACACTATAAGTGAGAATGATGGACCATATAACGTTTCCCACTCTAAGATGAAAACTGACTACAATTAGGTGAGCTGAAAGATTTAAAACTCAATTTTCTTTGTATCTAAGTAAGCATGGAGATACTCAAGGCATAATGCTTCTAAACCTATCTAATCATTACCACAAGGTCCTACTTTTTGAGCGGGGTACAGGGTACTTAAGTTTTTTTAATAAGATGTAAGAAAAAAACAAGTCCACCCTACTCCTTTACATAATCAAGAAAAAGCTGTAACAGAAACAGACAACAAGCCCCATTACAAACTTTAAGTGCATATCAATATTCACTGTTCCATAAATGATGACATGTGGAGTTGCGTTGTGCTGTTAAAGAATTAACAGTAACACTACAATGTCATCAATTTAAGACATAGCTTGATCTTAAACCAGAAAAATAAAGAATTAACTAATTCATTACGAGTAAAAACACACAGAAAAAAATGACAACTTCAGTAAATCGATAGAACTTTTTACGAACTAATAATTACCGATTCCCAGATCGGGGTGGATGATAGCGATGTTCATCCTCGGGCTTTCTTTCTTCTCCATTGATGCTCTTCCCTGTGATTGTGAAAACTGTGAAGAAAGGGAAAAGACCTGGTCAGAAAGGTAATTCGCGCTCACAGTTGGATTGAAAGTTTCTTGCTTGACAAAAGCAACTGAATTCAAGGAGTGGTTTGTACATGAAGGCCTATACTCTCAATCGCCGAGGGCTTTCCTCTACGAGAGCCTCATCAGATTGCCCGCGCCTGATTTTGTTCCCCAGATTCAACATTTAAAAGTTAAAACAATCTCATAACATTCAAAATACCATTTTGATCTTATTGGAATGTATAATCATGCTCTTTATTTCTTATTTTTATTGTACATTCGTTATATAATTTGATGCGATTTTTATTCTTAAATAAATAAGTAGTGTATGAATGTACTGCATATTTTTTCTTTTTGGGTATTGAAATTGGAATTTTAGTGGTTAAAAATGCTTTAAAATTAAAAAAAAAACTTTTTTTTTTGGAAAAATAACCAAAACCGGATTTTTCTAGGTTTGTCGGGGTTTTCGGGTCCAGGTATGGATCAGATTGTTTCGGTTCAGTCGGGTTTTTCCGGTTTTGGACCATTTTTGGAGTTTTAACTAACTGAATCGGGTTTTGGTCCGAATTGTCGGGTTCCGGTCGACCTGGACGGTTCGGTTGGTTTTTTAAACATAGCCTAAAATGAGATTTTTTAGTTACTCCAACACAAGATTTTTGCTTAGAAAAATGTCACAATAGCAAAGCCAAAGACATTTTAAGGGAAATATCAAATATGGTGCAAATGCAAAGTTTTTTAAAAATGCAATGCACAAGTCAAATGTCACCTAAAAAGTATAGTGCAAAGTCAAAATTCTCCTATTTTAATCTAAACATTTTTTTAAGAATAAAATGAGATGTTTGCAAAAAAAGGAATAAAATGAGACATATGAGACAACATAATCTGTACGATCACAAAAACTAAACACTAGGGGAAAAACAGTCACAATAAGTGGCGGTTTTATAATAACCGTCACAATTTGTGCAAAAAAAAAATCGCCCACGGGCGGTGGCTTATATATAATAACCGATGCATGTGTTTAATTTTTTAATAATTTTCGAATTCTATGCTGCGGTTTTACAAATTAACCGAAGCATATATATTACGTTGAGAAAATTTTCTAAACAGGACTAAAAGATTGACAAAATTCATACATAGGACTATCATTGTTTTATTCTTCAAATAGGACACATTCACTCTTATTTTCGGAAGTTTTATTAACTTATTCTTTTAATAGGACTACATAAGTTTTATTTGAGAATAAAACATACTTAATCCTGTTTTTGCACTTTGAGTATATTTTCATCCTATATTGAGCAATTTCTATATAAGAAGGTGAATGTATTTGTGTGGATGTTGACGGTTATTGGTAGGTTTTGGCGGCGAGAGAGTTATGGCCGGGATAACGAATATGCCGGTTATTCTCCGGAAATCTAAAATGTCAAAAATGGAGCTAATACCAATGCATGACTGAAGCCCGGAAGGGTGACAAAACTGGAGTTCTTAAAGTTTTTGGGCTACAACTTCTTAAAGTTGATATAATTTGGTTGTGCCATCAGCGGCACATACCTGGCAGTAGCCCCACTGGCACTGGAAAGACAAAGGAGCCCTTGAATAATCCTACTAGCTCAGATTGTGAACGTATGGAGACAAATACACCCTCCAGGCGGCTGCTAAATACATCTGTACATGGCCCATCTTCACCGATTGTAAGTACTGATTGTGATGCTCCTGTACAAGATCCAATCATCGGGGGACCACCTAGCCAATCAATTGTGAATCCATGAATCATTCCAATAAAGAATAAAAAAGGAGCGAGAGGATCCGAAAGATTCCAAAACATCTCGAAAATTATGAGATTGACTTGCCCTCCTCGCTTGTTCACCCTGGACCCACCGTGAATCACCTTCACTCAACAGTATATCCAATGTCCAATTTTATCAGTTACGAGAAATTTTCAAAAACGCATAAAGCATTTCTAGCGGCTATCACTTAACATGATGAGCCTAAATATTTATCACATGCTGTTCAGGACCCCTTGTGGTGGGAGGCCATGCAACTTAATCGTCATTTCAAGTCTTATACATATCAACTTAATCATCATATATATATTAAGTTAATAATATTCATTCTATGCTTCCTTTACCTTTCAAACATAGCATGCAATTTCATAGAAATTCTCATATCATATTCCATGCATATTCATGTAATTCATTTCATACATGCCTAATCATTTTGGCTAATCACATGTTTAAATATCTTTTAAACATCGTTATGAATACATATAACATTTATTTAGGTAATCTCATAATTAACCCAAAAATTATAAGGTATTAAGCCGTCCACTCACCTTAAATAAGCTATAGTGTGTTCTACGCTCCTCGGTTGAACTCCGGCGAAACTCCGACGAACTCCGGCGAACTCTAGAAACTCTTTAGTTAAGCTCCTAACAAGGTTTTATAATCATAAAACTCATATCAATACAAATAACCTCTAAAAGGTTATTTTCCGGCGAACCGATCGTTTTGGCTTCTAAGTCCGTTCTTGGACTTAGAACTACCTTGCAACCCTTCATTCTACACTTCTAAACATGTAGAAAAATCCCAGGGTCTCCTCATATGATGTATAATCCATATGGTAGTTAAAGAGTAGAGGAAAAGTTAATATAAGGTCATTACCTTGATCACCACACTTTTTCCTCACTTTTTCTTCCTTAAGTCTTCCTCCTTGGACTTTGTCTTCTTGAGCTCACTTGGCTATGGAGGAATGAAGCTTTACTGAGGTTTTTCTCTCCCCTTGAAAAGCTTGGTCGAAAATGAGAGGGATAGGAGAGTAGGAATGATCCTTTTGTCTCATTGGACAAATGAGTGTGGATGGGAGGTCCACCTCATGTCCTTTAGATGTCATTCCCTTAGCCTCAACTTCCCTCACCCTTCTCCTCTCATTTCAGCCGCCCAACCATTGGCTTTTGTGACCAAAAAACGTGGGTTGGCCCCCACACATGTGGGAGGTCAACCCTTTAACCCCCGAGGTGTACAATCGGACTGTTTTAATTATATTTAATTTTATCGAGTCAAATAAAATATATTATGCGTTTCCCATCATTATGGACTTTTAGAATGAATATACATTCCTCAACTTTAATTTAGAAGTCTCCGAAATCCATTTCAGACTGTTATCTGATAAATTACCAATACCGGTAATTGGGCCTCATTGACCGACGGGTCAACCCTATGCCCTTTCTATGGTCCAACTAAAATATCTACCACCATATACATGTTATCTAGACCAAGATGGATATAATATGTGGTCCCGGAATTATCGGGTGGTCCTCGCTCCTGATGTGGGCCCACGTGCAATTCACTATTCACGTGAAAGTAAAAAAAAAATTACAACCTTGTAAATTCAAAATCATTATTCAAGGTTTATTACATGATTTACTAAAAAGTAAATATACTTGGGGACGGTGTTACAGGATGAGACATAGAAAATGTGGATAAAATACATACATTCTAAAATATGATTTTTAGTCAGGTTTAAAGTATTATTTACAAATAAAAGGCGAGTGAGAAAATGTGGAAAACCCCCTAAGCTATGATAGTAATATAGATAATTTTAACACCAAGATTGTCACAAACATCTTTCCATATTAGATTTCTATTCTGATTCAAAGGAGTTTATCCTTTATATGACTTCGTATGTAATGATCATAAAAATGTTAAGTTGGTCGCTCTCCCATGTTGGTATCTGAATAAAAATTAGCCACAGACAATTGTCTGTTGTACCGTGAAGGGTTACAACGATGACAAGATTCTGAGGTTTAAATCATACATCAATGTCGTCTTTAAATGAATTTTACATAGTTGTTTAATCTTGGTTCAATTGTACGAGCTTCAATGCTAAATGTGTCCCATAATGTAAGATATATGTGGTTTTGTATGAGTTTTAAGAAAATAAAGTATAAAATTGTTATTTTACAATTCTAACTTCAAATAAGTAGGAAGGAGCAAGATAGGGTGTACAAAAAGTAAATAGTAAATTGATAAATAAAGCGATAAAGTGGGAAAGTAAAAAAAATTGTGAAATTCAATTTAGTAAAATGTTCATATTTTTAGACAATTCGAAAAGAAAAGTATATCTTATAAGTGAGATGGGTGAGTGTATTTTTAGATTTCTTTTTCCAACAACAAAAGCTTATACTACATAAATAAAAAGGACGTTTGATGTGAAAAGAGCTAAATTTTCACTTTTAATTCACTACACCGCACTTTTATGTTTAAATACGGTACTTTTTCAATGTTGCAAAAGCGTTAACTTATTTATGACAATGTCACCGCATTTTAAACTCAATTTAATGCATTAATATTTGTTAGCACTCTTAGAACTACTAAATCTCAAATTCAATGCACGAAAATCATTCTCAATCGCCCCCCTCTGACGGTCAAATTGAGCAGAACTGACCAGACAATTTTCCAATTGAAGGTATCAATCACAGACCTCCAGATTCGGTCCATATCAGCACGTCCAGAAGCATTAACTATATAGAAGTAAGCCATGGAAAGACAGAACGTGCTAACGGCCGCCCTGCAATTGTTGCTCAAATCATTCACCAGACAAAGAAACAATGCAAGCCGCCTGACGGAAAAACAAACCCTGTTATCGATCTTGCAGACCCAAATCTGCTGCGTAAACTTCCAATTATTACCAATCATCTCGCTTCTTCTTCTCCCTTTTTTTCCACCTTTCACTGCATGTGCATACCGTTCCAGACTTCCAGCTAGCACCTCTTCCGCCGACCTGAAAAAAGCACAATTTGATTGTCAATATTACATCTAGAAGACCATAACCCCTTATTCACTATTTCACTTGATCTGAACGGCAGCTTGAACACAACCAGATTTTCACCCGCGCGATGCACGGGACATATATTAAATATAAATAATAATATTAATGAATAATAGTTATTTCATATTAGTTGTTAATATAAAGAGTTAATGTTTCAATGACATGAAAGAGTATGTATGTAATACACAAAAATAATAACAATTAAGGTAAATATATAATGTTTTGGAAGAGTAAGGAAAAATAAACATTACAATAGGAAATCTGAACTCTACACATTTCGAAATACTTCTTTGTAGACAACATTGGTAGTACGATCGAGATGTTCTCCATTTTCTCCGCATATGAGAATCTTCAAACCCTTATGATTTGTCACCCTCGATGCTGCAACATAAAGTTGACCATGCATAAAGACAGACTTTTTAATAAAAGGCCAACATGCAACAACGAT